ATTTAATTCATAGTGTACAGCTAATCAAACTGCTCATAGAGCCCTGGGGCTGTCGCCAGGTTGCTTACAAACTGAGGAGCTGCTGCGTTAGACCTCGCCGTGCGCGCGCCGTGCGCGGTCAAAGCGGTAGTGAAAGAATTCACATGCATTTTAGTGATGGTTTTAGCTTGTTTGAACTCTTCCCTTTCCCTGACTGTTTGTATTAAACAAAGACTGCAAATGCAACCAAGGCTCTGAATGTTATATCTATTGATTTGGACGCAACAGAAGTCAAGCAGATTTGAGACAGACTCAAGAAAGTCTGGAGGGGTGGGATGTTATTCAGAATTTGCCAAACACGTTCAGAGTCTGTGTAACTCATGGTATAATGAAAGGCAACAGCAAGACTTTCTTGCAGCTGAGGTCAGTTGACCTACAGGTACTTTTAATCCCATGGCCAAAATCAGGTTAGTTCAACTGATGTGACAGCAGTGTTATTTTCTGGGCCTTTGCAGTGGGCTTGGCACTGTCTCATTTTTTCCAAACATGGTCTTCGCTCTTGAGAGAGGAAAACGGGGGAGAAAAGCAGCAATGACTTCCCCAAACTCCTCCCACAAGCTAAAGGGTGTGATAGGCAGGAAATACTGAGCAATTCTATGGACTTCTATGAAACTCAAAGGCCTTATGTGGATTTTAGTAGGATGCTCTAGTATCACTTGCTATGCTGGATGGGTGACTGGGTGCCTTGGCACCTTGCTATCCAAAGCATGTGGCCTAACCTGATGCCTTCACAAAGTAATTTGAAGAGAATATTTTGGGGAAAGTGAATTCTGGTTGGAAGGGAAATGACACTGTAGCAGGAACAAGCAGCAAGCAGCTACCTGTACACCCTCTTTCAGCAATAAACAGACACGACTATCATTGAGTTCATGTCCATGTCATTATTCCAAATGTGTTGCATGCTTACATAAACCCAGTGGTGAGTAGAGCAGGCGATCAGGTAACAGGTACAGCTAAGGAGGCTTTTTGCTGTCCTCAGCATCCGCAGAAAGCATCTAATCTACATTCTCATCCCAGCTCCGCCATAACTGGGCGCAGGAATCTGGGCATGTAGCTGCGTTTGTTAGCAAAGAGGAGCAATACCGAAACACCTGGACTCAGGGAGAGAATGAAATGATCCTCCAAAATGGAGCATAAATCTCCTTTCAGTGTCTGCAGGATATGTGCTATTTGCTAAACCTATGTGAATGTGTCTGCCCAAGAGCTGGCACCAGATTCAGTAGCCCCATTTCAATGGCAAGTTTAGTTAACCTGGTGTGAGTTCTGTGTATGAACAAGATTTTAGGAAAACTGTTCCTATCCCTGGGAATCCTTAAGAGCTGGAAGAGCTGGTGCGGCAGGTGGGTCTGCCTTTCGCCCGCAACCATGTGTGGTCCTGATCCAGCACAGGGCAGGGGACCTACCAGGAGGCCAGAGGAGCTTGTATGCAACCCCGGGGGCGGAGGGAGCACCAGTCCCCTGGCCTCCGAGGCCCCCACAGCCGGAGCAAGGCTCTGCCTCCCAGCGCAGGGCGGAGGAGGGCGTCCCACAGTGGGGGCCGCTGGCCTGCCCCTTGTGCAGCTCCTGCGCACCTTTGGAGGAGCTCATTGGGGCGGTGAGCGGCCTCCTGGGCACAGCATTGTGACCCCTCTATGAGGACAAAAACCTTGGGGTGCTGGTCCGGGTTTTGCCCAGTGGCCGCCCGGCTCAATGCCCTTTGTCTTTTGGGGCCCCAGAGCCAGCTCTGCAGCTTGACCTTGGTCTGAACCAGGCCCCGGGGAGGGTATTTGGGCAAGTGGCCTTCCCTGGGTCCCCACATATCTGTGCTCTGTGGGGGGCCGGGGCATGGTGCTGCGAAGTTTGGGCTGGGGGTCCGGATTCCCTTGTGGCTGGAGGCCTCCAAGCCCCCCTTCTCTGCACCCCTTGGCTGGGCTCGCACAGGAGCTGGGACCCCGCAGTGGTCCCTGCTGAGCAGCCGGAGAAGACTGTTGCCCGCAGCCCAGGGCGACGTGCTGCGCAGCTTCACTTTTCCCAGGCAGCACCATGGCCGCAAACAAAGGCTGGCCTCCAGCTTGATGTCTCCAGGCAGCTGGAACAAGTCCTCTCCGGCATAGCAAATATGATGGCCCTTGGCCCACAGTGTCTGGGCAAGTGCCGCTGGGGAAAGCAAGAGTGAAAGCCGGGCCCAGAGGATGCTGGCCCTGTGCAGAGTGAAACCCACGGGCCCTGCCTGAAAGCACAGGGCCTTGACCACCAGGCCACGAGGCAGGCAGGGGCCACAGCCTTCCCGGGGCTCCCCTTGCAGTGCTGGTGGCAAAATGGGCGGAGGGATTGCCCCTGGCTAGCTGGGCAGGGACCACCAGGGCGGGGCAACCTCCAGTGGCTCCTGGGTGAAGGCAAGGGGAGAGCGGAGCCTGCAGGCGTTTAGTCTGAGAGAGCTGAGCCTGAGGGTGTCCCAAGAGAAAGGTACTGGAGGGAGCGTGGCCCTGAGGGTGGACTTGTCTCGTGCTGCGCTGGTGAGGACGGCTGCAGCCAGAGCCTTCTTAGCCTCCCCCTGGCATCACTTGCCTTGCCTGCCAAACAACAAAGCCCCAAGATGCACCGAGCTGGGGCAGATTTCTTGTGTGCGCCAACCTGGTTTTTACTTCCTTTTCAGGTGTCCCGGGGAAAGGCCTACCTGTGAGCAAGGCTGGGCTGCTGCGCAAAACAGCAGCCATCCTCAGAGAAGCTGGTGGAGGAAAGGCAGAGTAAGCCGTCCTTCGTGCAGGCCTGGCTTCTGGGTATCTGTTGTTGGCAGGAGTAACTAGGACTCAAGGAGGCGGCTCCTGAAGAGGCAATGGCCTAGCTGCAGGTCACAGCAGGATGGATCCCAAGGTTCCTGCTGCGGGCTGATGTGAGGGTTGGCCTTCAGATCTTGTGTACAGTGCAGCCAGGTGCGGGAGCGGTGCCCCCAGCACCTTGCTACCATTTGTGCAACCCGTAGCAAACCCTCCCAGAGAAGACAGAAAGGCAGGTGTGAGCTGGCCTGTTATGGACTAATAAAATTGATGTCCCAGAAACTTCCTTGGTTCCTGATATCTTTCACCTCCAAGTTTATGCTTCCCCACTGCACTGTTTCTCCCCTCTTCTGTCATCTCATGTCCAAGTTTCCCCCACCCGCTGCCCTTTTCCATTTCTACAGTGGTTCTCTTGTAACCACTGTGTGCTGAACACCTGTGAGCTGATCACCCAAGTTGCTGAATCCCTTCCTGAAAAGGGATTAGTGGCAGACATCACTTGACTTGGCTCTC